TGTGTGAGAGAGAGAGAGAGAGAGAGAGAGAGAGAGAGAGAGAGAGAGAGAGAGAGAGAGAGAGAGAGAGATGCAGGGAGCTGTGGAAGTGATGCCGAAGCCACAGCTCCCTTCACTTAGGTTCTTGCGAGGTGGGGTAGYTCCCAAGCCTGGCACAGTAGGCCTTCTTAGCATGGCAAGGGCATGTTCATCAGCTTTAGGAATAGGCTCAGCACTAGCAACCCCGGCGAGCTCTGCCCATTCATCAGCTTTGGGGATAGGTTCGGCACGAGCACCCCCTGCAAACTCTGGTCATTCCCTCTGCGCAGGGGAATTACGAAGCACTCCTCGCACTCCTGCTACCCCGTCTTTCTATCACTCAGCAGTGCTCAAGCATGGCAACCAACATGGTTGCAATCAAGGAGGAGGAGGGATGAGAGCAGAAAATCTGAGAGAAAGTAGCAGTAGTAGTTGTTGGGTGCATGCGGCCGAGTGGTCGGCGCGTGTTGGTTGGCCTGAGAAGGCTTGTAACTCCTCAGGGCTCCTCTCTAGAGGCATCGCTCGGTGTGGCGAAGTCGGGGTGTCGTCACGATGGCGTCGTGCCACTAAGCCATTGCTGTCTGGATCCCAATGTCAATCCCGATTTGCGGGAACGGCACAGGTTGCTGTTGTCGCGATGAGCGATCCGAGGGTCGATAGCACTCCTGGTCGCACGATGAATGAGCTGAGAGCGGCTGCTGCCAGTCCGGCGGTTGGGGCCATGCCCCTGCTTGAGTATCAGGCACCCCTTGAAGTTGTTATTTATCCCGATCCCCGTTTAAGGGCTAGAAATGCAGCAGTATCTGTTTTTGATGCTAGGCTGGAGGAGTTTGCTCATGCCATGTTTGAGGCTATGTATAAGTATGATGGAGTAGGTCTGTCTGCTCCTCAAGTCGGCGTCAATCTTCAGTTCATGGTGTTTAACCCAGTGGGTGAGAGAGGGAAGGGACAGGAGTACGTTTTGGTGAATCCGAAGATCGTCAAGAAGAGCAAGAAAAAAGATGTTTTTGAGGAGAGTTGTTTGTCATTTCCCCAGATTTATGCCGACGTAGAAAGACCCGTAGGCGTCAAGATCGACGCTTTGGACGTCAAAGGAAACCCTTTTCATCTGGAGCTGAAGGGGTGGCCTTCGCGCATCTTTCAACACGAGTACGATCATCTTGATGGTGTGCTTTTCTTCGATAGAATGAGTCCTTCCGTGCTGACAAGCGTGCGCCCAATGCTGGAGCAACTAGAGCTGGAATACGCAAAACAGCAACAAAATGAACGACAATCATCATAGAACGACAAAACGACTGCCTCGTAGCAGTGCAGTTAAAGTGCCGGCGATGATGGTGACACATTGAGATAAGATTAATGTTACTGATGATGAATCTGAACCTGAATCTGAATCTGAATCTGAATCTGATGGTGGTGGTAATGATGATGATGATGATGATGATGATGATGATGGTAGTGTAATCGTCAGCACAGCTGGCAATGATTGTGAGGAAAGTTATAGCGACAATATCGATGATGATGATGATGATGATGATGATGATGATGATGATGACAGTGTGATTGGCATCATTGTGATCATAATGATCATCGTTTGTGTCGTCGTTGTCGATCTTTTTTTTTTTTTTTTTTCGGAATTTTTGTTGATAGCTTATCATTTGGATCATCATCATCGATGATAATGGTGGTGGTGATGGTGATGATGATTGTGGGGGATAGTCATCCTGTTCCTTTCCCCTCTCTGTACCCCTCTTTTAGGTGTGACACGTGGCGGGCAATTAGCTGCAGCTGCTGATAGTGATGAGGAGGAGGACGATGCATCGACTACCTCGCAAAGTTTCGCAACCGTATTTCTCTGGGCGGAAATGGATGTGGTTTGCTATTGAAGGTTTTTTTTTGAAAATTTTTCCTGTTAAAAAATACTAAAAATGTCCTCCGGAACATCCGTTGAAACTTAAAATTCTTTAAACTGGAACGATACAGAGAAGGGTAATTAGTATAGCCCCTGCGCAACGATGACACACATGAATGGAGAAATTGTCCCCAAAAAAGAAAAAAAAGAAAAAGGGTTTTCCTCAGTTTTCCTGTAGATATCCGGTGCAGAGCTACCATCTCCTTAGCTGTGCATCTTCTCATCATACTCTCGTAGTGTACTCGTACTTCAGTAGGATATGACCTTTTTGGGTACCATTATTTTCTTGTTTCTTAAACCACCAGTACACCCGGGGTTGCGCGCCAAGCTGCACTGAGCCTGTCGTTTCTAGGGTACCGGTATTGGGCGGGAATCGTTTTCGGTACCAGTACCACATTTTATAGGAATTGAGGTCGGCGGCCTCATTTTCTCTGGCGGACATTGGGGTCGTACGGATTGCGAACTGAGTTGTCATACCAATGTTGGAAATTGTTTTTTTCTTTTTCCTCTTTGCAAAACAAAATTACAACGCATGTGCGCAGGCCGCGCGCACGTGTGTTTGTGTGTGGAGTGGGGGTGGGGGAGGGGGGGGCGGAGGCCGAGCGTGCACGCACAAAAAGGTGGTCGACCTTCACCGCAACTTTCTTCTATATTAATATCTCTCGAGAAAAAATAAAAATATAGAAAAGAATTCCCAACTTGTTTTTTTTTTTTTTT